CGATTGCATCGGGCAGATGCCCATCTCTGGCGCCCGTCTCGCAGGAAGGTGAGGTTGCGTTTGGGAAAATTCTCTCCACGGGTGCGAGTTATTTTCTCTGCGCGCGCGATTTATTTCCCCCATGGGTGCGATCTATTCTCTCCAAGGGCGCGATGGACATTCCCCGCGGGCGCGATGCATTTTCCCCGGGGGTGCGTTCTCCCCGTGGGCGCGATTGATTTTCTCCGCGGGCGCGATTTATTTTCTCCGCGGCTGCGAATCAGTTTCTCCGCGGTTGTGGTTGATTTGCTCCGCGGGCGCAGTTCCCCCCCCCCCCGCGGGCGCGATTTATTTGCTTCGCGCGCGCGATTATTGCTCCGAAGGCGCGATTGTTTTTTTCTCCGCGGGCGCGATTTTTCCGCGGGCGCGAATTCATTTTCCCCGGGTGCTGTTTGTTTTTACTCCGCGGGCGCGGTTGCGTTTAACCGCGTGCGCGACTTATTCTCTCCATGGGCGCGATTTATTTTCCCCCTGGGCGCGATCGATTTTCTCCGCGGGCGCGATTCAATGTTCCGTGAATGCGTTTTCTTCGCCGCGGGCGAGATCTATGTTCCCCCCTCGCGCGATTGTTTCTCCGCGGGCGCGATTTATTTTCCCGGGGGGTGCTATTTATTTTCTCCGCGGGCGCGGTTTATTTTTCCGTGGGCGCGATGCATTTTTTCCGCGACCACGATTCATTTCCGCGGGTGCGATTGATTTTCGCAGCGGGCGCGGCTCATCTTCTCCATGGGCGCGATTTAGCATTCCCCGTGGGCGAGATTTAATGAGGGGGCGCCTTCCAATCTGATCTCCCCGATGCGGCGGCGACGGGCCCGTCGCGGACGGATGCGCAACGATCTGTCCGCCGCGCGGAACTATTGAGACATGATTGTATAAAGTTGTGCGATGTGCGATGGGCGCGCCGTGGACAGCGAAGTTCAACCATGCGTGGCGCGCAATATTTTCGGTGCGACGGCGACGGCGGGTGGCCAGACAGATGCGCAGCACGTAACCAGGCACGTTCGCCGACGGTACGACAGCGGCCGCCGAGGCCGCGACAGATAGACAGTTCGTTTGTTTCCGGACCTCCCCGCGCGGTGCGACGGCGACAGGGGGGTGGCCAGACGCATGGGTTGCCCATAGCTGCGCATGTCGGCCTGGCCAACGGTGCGACAGCGACCGGCGGGGCCGCGACAGATACACAGCCTGTTTCCCACCCCCCGCGCGCGGCGCGACGGCGATGGAGGGCGGCCCGACAGATGGACCCAGCCTGCTATGGACCTCCGACACGCGCGCGCGGGTTCTGTAGCGTACACAATAGCAAAGTCGACGCGCCCGTCGGCCTCCTTAAAGAGCCACAGAAATTTAGCATTCGGTTTATAAACTTCCATGCCGACTTTTCTATTGTGGACAACACAGAACTCCGACGCGCGCGCGCGCGCGCGTCGGGGGTCTGCAGCGCCCACAATAGAGAAGTCGACGCGCCCGTCGGCCTCTTTAAAGAGCCACAGAATTCTGAAATTCAGTTTTGAGAATTGCATATCGACTTTTCTCTTGTGCACAACAAAGAACTCCGACGCGCGCGCGCGCGTCGGGGGTCTGTAGCGCCCGCAATAGAGAAGTCGACGCGCCCGTCGGCCTCCTTAAAGAGCCACAGAAATGTAGAATTCTGTTTTTAGACGCAGCACCCCGCAAGTGCGGATAAGAATGAGGGGGCGGGCGCGGGCGACGCGGGCGTCGTCGAGCCGGCGGACCTCGTGGCCCCCGCCTTCCCTGTCGATGGCGATCTCATCCTCCTCCTCCTCCTCCTCCCCCTCCCCCCCCTCCTCTTCCTCGTCCTCGTCCTCGTCATCATCGTCCTCATCCTCCTCCCCCCTCTTCCTCCTCCTGTTCTTCCTCGTCCTCCCTCTCCCCCCCTCGTCCTTTCATCATCGTCCTCCCATCGTCGTCCTCCCCCTCATCGGCCTCCATCATCGCCCTCCCATTGTCGTCCATCACCATCATCCTCCCCCTCCTCCCCCTCCTCGTCCTCCCCCTTCCCGCCCCCCCCCTCCTCGCCCTCCTGCTCCTCCTCCTTTTCTCTCTCCACATTATCCTTACATCCTCTCTTCTGCCGCGTTCTCCTCGCCCCCTGTTTACTCCTCCTGCCTCCCCCTCCTTTCCCAAGATAACTACAACGCAGACATTTGTTCTACTTTATGTTTCCTGCCTTCTCTGATCAAGGCAACTCGCCAGGGCAAAGTTGCTGGGCGGGCTGGCGTGGATGCGCGGGGCTTGAAGAGGCCCTTGCGGGCTCAGACGGCATGCGAAAATCCGCCGCCGCGTTTGCGCGGCATTGGTTTGTTCAGTGAACGTGGTTTAGGTCGCGGGTGGGTCGCGGGCTCTCCACCTACACCTGGAAGGAATGCAAGAAGCAACCCGCCGCAAGCGCCAACAAACATTGGTTTGTACACTGAACGTGGTTTGGGTCGCGGGTGGGCCG